GGAGGAGGAGGAGGAGGAGGAGGAGGAGATGGAGGAGGAGGAGGAGGAGGAGGAGGGGGCGGGACGGCGAAGCCCCTGCCGTCCCGGGCGTCGAGGCGGGCTGTGCTTACCGTCGCGGTGCCCCGGGCCGTCACGGCTCGATGCCACTCGAGCAGTTCCGTCACTCGGTCACGGCACTCTGTTTTTGTTTGCTTTTTTTTTTCTCCACGACGTCGGATTTCAGGGGATGGGGGTGGGGGAAGGGGGGATGGGGACTGCATGGAGCGAAGGAGGGGGACAGAGAGGGAGGCGGAGAGGGACAGATGGGTTCTCCTCGGGGAGGGAGAGAGGGAGGGAGGGGGGGAGAGAGGAATTGAGGATGGAGGGAATGGAAGAGGGACAGCGGGTGGGGATGGGATCGGCGGCGAGCGAGAGGGGGAAGTGAGAAGGAGAAGGTCTTCTTAGACGGCGGCGGGACTTCTCAGAAGCTCTGGCGCCTTCTGGAAGGTTTTTTCTGTCTTCGGGGAAAGCTTAGAATACTTCTCAAAATGCCGGGGGGCTTCCGAGCCTTCTGAGAGCCCGCCCCTTCCCACTTCCCCCCAGGCGCGCCGCTGATGGGAGGGGTAGTTGCAGTGACGGCATGTGATCAGGAAACACTGGATCAGGAGTCCAGGGTCTGGAAGCTGGTGGAACTACAATCGCGGATTAGCCATGGATCGCACCGCCGCCCTCATGAGGCAAGGAACGCCGCAGAGGAGGGAAGGGGACGAACATCGGTTGCCAGAGGTGCTCGCGAACAGAAACATTATCGGGCGTCCGCGGGCAGCTCTTACCCGCCGACGATCGCGCTCCGGCCGCGCGCTGGCGCGGGCAGCGGGGCTCGGGGGCAGAGCAGGGCGGTGAGGCTGCGAACCGCTGGCGGCAGGGCGGAGGAGGAGGGAGACGAGCGCAGGCCTCTGGGAGAGAGAGAGAGAGGGGCGGCCGAGAGCACGAGGCGAGAGCAGGCGCCCGCCCAGGGGGCGAGAGAGGAGCCCCCGTGCTCCCCGGGAGAGCTGCGCCACGAGGCCTTCGCTGTGCACGAGCGAGACGGGTACGCAAAGAATGGATACATACAATGCCCAACAGCAGTTCCTGTTCATCTTGGGCAGGGCTCGCTGTCCACGCCGCCGCGGCCTGTGTCCGCTCGAGACAGAAGGCCGCCTGCCCAACAGCGGCCGCTGTTGGTTTGGGACGACATTTGCTGTTGGGCATTGTGCCCATTCTTTCCGTGCCCATTTCGGGCGTCCAAATTCGCTGGCACCGCCCCTGGGAGTCGCAGCCGGCCGCCCGCCCCCAGCTGGCTCTTGACACCGAGCCCTGTGCCCGCGGACAGCGAGCAGCAGCGCGCTCCCCCCGCGCACCTGCTGCCCGCATCGCAGCATGCATGGGGGGTGGGATGCGCCGCGAAGAGAGAGAGAGAGAGAGAGAGAGAGAGAGAGAGAGGCAGAGATACAGAGAGAGAGAGAGGGAGACATATAGATGTGAATCGATGCATATGCATATACACTGACACCCTCCGACAAACTTCGCATGTACCTTCAGGGAGGGTGACGGTTTACGAGGTCGCTGGCCTTGAGTGGTGAGTTACGCAACGCCACCCTCCTCTCAGGCCCAGGAACAGTCCAATGCAGGTTGTCTATGCGTATTTTTTGGGTGCGGAAGGGAGCGGAGGAAAATGCAGTCCTTGCTGATCGCCCTCGCGACCTGCTGGAGGGAGTGGAACTCGACCACGCGAGACCTCTTGCCCCGCTGCCCGCTCCCTTGACGTCTCAGAGAGATCGCTCGATCGGATCGATCGAGCTCTCGGGCCAGTTCGGTGCTACTCCCCCTTGACTAGAGCTGAGCTGCCTTCAAACACCTAGTGTGGCCTAGCTGTGTTCACTTCGTGGAAAAAGGGGGTCAATCTCAGGGAGAGGGGCAGGAGAGAGAGATGAGGAGGTGGGCGTATGAGGAAGCATCCCCGCTTGTCCACGAGCGGATGCAGGGAGAGAGCGAGAGAAACAACAAAAATAAAAAAGCGAGAGAGAGAGAGAGAGAGAGAGAGAAAAAAAAGAAGGAATGAATGGGGCCTCCCGCCCTGACCATTGGCTACTTGACTTGTTCGGTCTCGGTTTATAGCGACCGATCGGCACTCCAGACTGGTCGCGACCGATCGCGACCGATTCCCGAATCAGTGGCGACCGATTTCGAAGCAAGCTGGTCGCGACCGAGGCTGGAATGGGAAGCAGAACCCCTCTTGACCGACCTCGTCGGTCGCGACGAGAAACCCCATGCTGCCAAGGATCAGGGCAGAGTGGCCTGGAGCTTCCCTCGAAGACGGCCTCTCACAGGGCCGGGCTCCTCGCCCCGCCTCCAGAACCCAACCCTCCCGGCGTCGCGACGCGGTCCCGACCGCTTCCCCAGGATGGGCCGGCCGCCTCATCCCGAGCGGGTCTGGGGACGGCCCCGCGGACCTGGCAGAGGGGCCCCAGAAGCCGACAGCTGCGAGAAGCCCTCCGCCGTTGAAGGGGCCCTGGGACACACAAATAAATACACACGAATAACAAGATTCCCCATATTTTCCAATATCTTCTGGGTTTTCTTCTTCCCCCCCACTTCCATATTGTCCCATATTTCCTGGGGATCGACGATTCATTGTGTCTGTGTGTTTTTTCCCCTCCTGAGCCGTGATCTTCTGCGACGCGCCGGGGCCTGGGCATCGACAGAAAATCCTGCAACATCCTGGCAATGGCCCCCGTGCTTCTTCCATCGATTCGAGGTCGTCTCCCTGCATGCCGCGATGCCCGCCGCGTCCATCGCCCTCCCTCCTCCCGTCGCTGGCCGCCCGTGCAACCCGGCGAGGCAAACCCGCGCAGCTCCCTCTGACCTGGGGATCCGACGTTGCCAAAGAAGAACGAACTACAACCTCGTGAAGCATCACGGACGGAGCCCTCTGGACCCCATCCTTCTGCGGCATGCTCCGAGCCGGGTCGATCTGTGAGGGCCCTGGGGCCCTAAATGGGCCAAGACGCGCCCCGTGTGGAAAAACTGCACCGCCCGGATCTCAGGGAACGCCTCCGAGACGACGACGACGACGACGACGACGACGACGGCGACGACGGCGACGGCGACGGCGACGGCGACGACGGCGGCGACGACGACGACGACGACGACGACGACGACGACGACGGCGGCGGCGGCGGCGGCGGCGAAAAGCGCCGCCAGTGTGAAAAGAATGGCAGCGCCCGGACGTCGGGGGGGCGAGCAGGGGCGGGCCCCCTCGGCAGGCTCGGCAACGCCCCTCCGAGCCTGCTGAGAAGCCTTCTGCAAGCCCCCCCCGAAGACACGGAGCATTTCTCCGCAGGCGCGCGGGGCTCCGAGAACTCCCGCCGCCTTCGGAGGCGGCCTTCTCCTTCTCACTTCCCCCCGCGCGCGCGCCACGGAATCCGGCTCTTGGGTCGTGACTCGGCTCTCCGGTGGCCGTTCGGGACGATCCGGGCACCCCCGGAACGCTCCCGGCGAGGCGCAGCCGCTGGAACGCATCCCGAGGGCGACATGACCGCCGAGAACCTGCGAACACGCCCGAACACCTGGAGCCTCGAAGTCCGAACCTCGAGGTTCCCAGTCCCCACCGCTCGCCGCCGAAAACCTGGCAGCGCCCCGCGGCCTCGGAGGCCCGCGGCGCCTCGCCGGCGCGCCTCGCCCCCTCTGCGGCCTCGGGCGCGCGGGCTGTTGCTTCCTCGTGTGGGCGCGGCGGCCGCGCCTGCCCCGCGGCCACCGGCAGGCCTCGCGGAGTGCAGCGCGCTCGGGCCGGGCGCCCCCGGGGGGGCGCCCGCTCGCCAGGGAGGGGGGAGGGGTGGCCCTGGGCCGGCGGCGCGCGGGGGGAGGGGCGGCGCGAGGGGGGGGGGCTGCTCTGAGGAGGCGGGGGCTCCTCAGAGGGCAGGGGTCTGCACTCTGCGGAGGCCCCGCGGCTTCCAGGAGAGGGCTCCTCCGGGAGCCCCCGGGGCTCTGCGGGGGAGGCCCTGCCTTCTGAGAGGCCCCTTGCCTTCTCGGAGGGCCACCAGCCTCGCGCCACCCCCGAGTGCGCGCCGCTGGCTGAGGGAAACGCCTGGGCCCCCAGGGGTTTTCCATGGGAGCGTTTCCTCATCCTGGGCACTTTTCGTGGCGGTCCCCACACCCTTGCAGGACCCCAGGGGCCTAACAGAGGCGGGGCGGATCCAGGACCACCCCCTGCCTCGAGGGCCCGCTTCCCGCATGCTTAGCTCGTACACCCGACGTTGTGGTTTTTTACCCATCCTGGTATTTTACTTCAATCTCGGCCTCCTCGAGGCCGTCTTCGGGCTCCGCGGTACTCAACAATGACCAATAAGGATCCGGGACGAAAAGCCGGCCACCGAGAAGGGGTCGGGACTTCCAGCGACACCGTAGTGAGTAATCAATGGGATCATGATGTCGGAGGTCTGGGTACGCCCAAGAGCACCTCCCCGAGCTCCGCGTTGCGTGATAAGAGAAACCCGCATCTGAGAGCCAGACGACTACACGCCTCGCCACCGCCTGCGTTCGCGAATGACGATGTCGGTGTATCGTGTCCCCTGGAGCTCCCGTACGTCGGGTGGAGGTTTAGCAGCTGTGTGCACGGCTGCATGCGCCACGCACACTTGCACAATGGTCTTTATGTGCATGCATGTGCTCATGCTTGCAAGCGTGCATATATATATATATGTATGTATGTATGTATGTATGTATGTATGTATGTATGTATGTATGTATGTACACACAGATTTGTATATGTGTGTACGACTGTATGTACACGCATGCATGCGAGGTGGCTGGTAAGGAGAACCCACCATGAATTGCAACACTTTGGCAGGTGGTGTCACTCTCGAACGCAGCCTCCGGCAACAAGGAAAAACATCAACCTCTCGCTTCAGCCCGCGACTCTTTCACGCGCGGGAAATGGATGATTTCACCTCTACCCAGCTGCCCAAATATGTACACTGTCCGCTGCAACTGTCAACTTCCTCACATATCCTGGCTCCAACGCTGTCGCAGGTGTCGCCAGCCTCAAGCTTCGTCTCCCTCGGCTCGCTCGCAAATATGTGCGGTTGCTGCATTTCTTGCAGGCGCGAGTTCTGCAGACATAAGCGTCGATCTCCAACGTGGCCCATCAAACTTCCCCGAACAATGATACTGCCAGCAACGCCTGCTGCCACTGACTACCCTTCTCGCACGAGCTGATTCCAGCACTGCAACTGACAACGTCAGGTTCCATGACCGTTTCCCACAAAGCATGCAGCAATAACAAAGCCTGCTGCCACTGCGCGCATTTTTCGCACGCGGTGATTCCAGCGTTGTAGATGACTAGTGCGGACCGGTTGTCCACGGGCATGCAGGGAAGTACATGCCTTGGCTGCTTGCGTGCTGTCCTGCTTGTGTTGCTGATATCAGCTTCCAGCTTGCATCGTGGCCCACATTCCCGAGGCGTTGCTTGCTTTAGCAGTGTTTACTCAACGGCTCGTTGCCACTTTGTGGCGCTTGTTGCCACTGTGTGGTACTTCGTGCTGCTTGCTAATACTTGTCCATTATTGCTGCTTTCTGCGGCTTGTTGCGGCTTGGTGGCGCTGATGGTGCTGTCTACGCGTGCTGCTGCAGCCTGCTGCTGCTGCTGCTGCTGTTGCTGCGAGCTGCTGCAATCTGCTGCTTGCACTCCTTGTTGATGTTGCCTACTGCCTACTGCCTGCTGCTGCCGACTGCTGATGCTGCTGCCTCCTCGAGGCCGTCTTCGGGCTCCGCGGTACTCAACAATGACCAATAAGGATCCGGGACGAAAAGCCGGCCACCGAGAAGGGGTCGGGACTTCCAGCGACACCGTAGTGAGTAATCAATGGGATCATGATGTCGGAGGTCTGGGTACGCCCAAGAGCACCTCCCCGAGCTCCGCGTTGCGTGATAAGAGAAACCCGCATCTGAGAGCCAGACGACTACACGCCTCGCCACCGCCCGCGTTCGCGAATGACGATGTCGGTGTATCGTGTCCCCTGGAGCTCCCGTACGTCGGGTGGAGGTTTAGCAGCTGTGTGCACGGCTGCATGCGCCACGCACACTTGCACAATGGTCGTGCATGCATGTGCTCATGCTTGCAAGCGTGCATATATATATATATATGTATATATGTATAAATGTATGTACACACAGATTTGTATATGTGTGTACGACTGTGTGTACACGCATACATGCGAGGTGGCTGGTAAGAAGAACCCACCATGAATTGCAACACTTTGGCAGGTGGTGTCACTCTCGAACGCAGCCTCCGGCAACCAGAAAAAAACATCAACCTCTCGCTTCAGCCCGCGACTCTTTCACGCGCGGGAAATGGATGATTTCACCTCTACCCAGCTGCCCAAATATGTACACTGTCCGCTGCAACTGTCAACTTCCTCACATATCCTGGCTCCAACGCTGTCGCAGGTGTCGCTAGCCTCAAGCTTCGTCTCCCTCGGCTCGCTCGCAAATATGTGCGGTTGCTGCATTTCTTGCAGGCGCGAGTTCTGCAGACATAAGCGTCGATCTCCAACGTGGCCCCTCAAACTTCCCCGAGCAATGATACTGCCAGCAACGCCTGCTGCCACTGACTACCCTTCTCGCACGAGCTGATTCCAGCACTGCAACTGACAATGTCAGGTTCCATGACCGTTTCCCACAAAGCATGCAGCAATAACAAAGCCTGCTGCCACTGCGCGCATTTTTCGCACGCGGTGATTCCAGCGTTGTAGATGACTAGTGCGGACCGGTTGTCCACGGGCATGCAGGGAAGTACATGCCTTGGCTGCTTGCGTGCTGTCCTGCTTGTGTTGCTGATATCAGCTTCCAGCTTGCATCGTGGCCCACATTCCCGAGGCGTTGCTTGCTTTAGCAGTGTTTACTCAACGGCTCGTTGCCACTTTGTGGCGCTTGTTGCCACTGTGTGGTACTTCGTGCTGCTTGCTAATACTTGTCCATTATTGCTGCTTTCTGCTGCTTGTTGCGGCTTGGTGGCGCTGCTTGCAGCTGCTTGGTGATGGTGCTGTCTACGCGTGCTGCTGCAGCCTGCTGCTGCTGCTGCTGTTGCTGCGAGCTGCTGCAATCTGCTGCTTGCACTCCTTGTTGATGTTGCCTACTGCCTACTGCCTGCTGCTGCCGACTGCTGATGCTGCTGCTGCCGATCTGCCGATTGCTGCTGGGACCTGCTGTTGCTTCTGCTTTCTGCGGCGGCTTGCTGCTCATACCACGTTGTTGCCGCTGTCGCTGGCGTTGTTGCTGCTGTCGCTAACAATGTTGCCGCTGGGTCTGGGGGCCGTACTGGAGTTATCTGCGGCCATGTTGGGGTCTTCTAGAGCCCCTCTTGATGCCGTTGTTGGCCGTCTTGGGGCCTCTCTTGGGCAGTCCTGGGGCCTCCGAAGGCCCTGCTGGGCCGTTTTGGAACGCCCTTAGGGCAGTCGCAGGTTGGGACACTCTGGGGCCCTCTTGGCGGTTGTGGCCTGTAGTGGACGCTTCTATGATGACACTGTGGGCGTTCGATGCCCTCCGAAAGGGATCCGCGGTAACAAAGCTCGGACGGGGAAGCACATTGACAATCACTCGACGTGGGAATCCCCATATCTGCATGCTGGTTCTAGCATATTCCACTCTGAGTGTTTTGGTATAGTTGAATATGATTGTGAGCAAGTCTGAGTACGAGCGGCTGAGTATTAGTTATCCTGCGCAAGCGCACCTGTCTGTGAATGGACTTGGGTGAGAGGAGCTTGAGTATGCACGGCTGAATCCCACCAGCCCTCTGGGCGGAGGTGGTTTGGAGCGTTTCCTCTTCAAACTTACTAATCAAATCCCCCCTCTCCCTACCCTCTCCCCTGGAGTCTACGCCTCCCCCTCCGCCAGATCCTCCCCCCGTGTTGATATGGCCCGTCAAGTGTTTGTGTGGCCCGGTGGGTGTTTGTACGGCATGGGTGGCCCGGGCCCTATACATCCTCGAATGCAGCAGGGGAGGGGTGCCTCCAAGAAGGGGCCCAGAGCCCCCCAACATAGCGGATTAGGAATGCATGAGGAGCCTCTCAGGGCATCCGAAGATCTCCTGCGGGGGGCTGGCCTGCAGTAAGCGACCCAGACCCCGCCC